GATTTCGAAGGGGCAGAGGAACCAGAGACCAAATTGCAAACATGCGCTGGATTATGGAGAAAGCTAGAGAGTTCCAGAAAGACATCTACTTCTGCTTCATTGACTATGCAAAAGCCTTTGACTGTGTCAACCACAGCAAACTATGGCAAGTTATTAAAGAAATGGGAGTGCCTGATCACCTCATCTGTCTCCTGAGAAATCTCTACGTGGGACAAGAAGCTAAAGTTAGAACTGGATATGGAACAACAAATTTGTACAAAATTGGAAAAGGAGTACGACAAGGTTGTATATTGTCTCCCTGCTTATTTAACTTATATGCAGAATTCATCATGCGAAAGGCAGGGCTGGATGAATCCCAAGCCGGAATTAAGATTGCCGAAAGAAATATCAACAACCTCAGATATGCAGATGACACAACCTTGATGGCAGAAAGTGAGAAGGAATTAAAGAACCTTTAATGAGGGTGAAAGAGGAGAGCGCAAAATATGGTCTGAAGCTCAACATCAAAAAAGCTAAGATCATGGCCAATGGTCCCATCAACTCCTGGCAAATAGAAGGGGAAGAAATGGAGGCAGTGAGAGATTTTACTTTCTTGGGCTCCATGATCACTGCAGATGGTGACAGCAGTCACAAAATTAAAAGACGCCTGCTTCTTGGGAGAAAAGCAATGACAAACCTAGACAGCATCTTAAAAAGCAGAGACATCACCTTGCCAACAAAGGTCTGTATAGTTAAAGCGATGGTTTTCCCAGTAGTGATGTATGGAAGTGAGAGCTGGGCCATAAAGAAGGCTGATCGCCGAAGAATAGATGCTTTTGAATTCTGGTGCTGGAGGAGACTCTTGAGAGTCCCATGGACTGCAAGAAGATCAAACACATCCATTCTTAAGGAAATCAGCCCTGAGTGCTCACTGGAAGGACAGATCGTGAAGCTGAGGCTTCAGTACTTTGGCCAAATTATGAGAAGAGAAGACTCCCTGGAAAAGACCCTGATGTTGGGAAAGATGGAGGCCACAAGGAGAAGGGGACGACAGAGAATGAGATGGTTGGACAGTGTTCTCGAAGCTACCAGCATGAGTTTGACCAAACTGCGGGAGGCAGTGGAAGACAGGAGTGCCTGGCGTGCTCTGGTCCATGGGGTCACAAAGAGTCGGACACGACTAAACGACTAAACAACAACAAGAAGTCCACTGAGAGTTCTGAGAGTTGTCAAGAGACCCCTATTCCTCTCACAAAGCTACAATTACCAGAGTGGTTCACCCCCTCTTCCCGTTAATTAAAACACAAGCCACTTTTTATTAATGGAAATGTTTATTTGATAATGATAATAGAATATTTATTTATTTAAATGCTCATATTCCTCAATCTCATGCCAAAGTGCCACAAGGCTGGGAGCGAGGGATCAGATTCCACTTCCTCTGGAAGAGAGTTCCAAGGTTTTGGAGCCATCCCTGGGAAGGCCCTGTCATGCCTTGTTCAGCAAGGAAACTGTGCCTCTGAAGCAGGTCTTCATCACTGGGTTGGTTTCCAGGGGAGAAGGGTACTTCTGGTATCCCCAGTTGTTGGATCAGCCTGGATTTGTGGTCAGAGTGTCAGACTGGGGCCTAGAGAGGCACCGGTTCAACTCCCCTTGACCACAAAGTGCTCTGGGTGACTTTGGGCCAGTTGCTCTCTTTTGACCTTGTCTACCTTGCAGGGCTGTGGAAAGAATTAATCTTCCTCTTATTAAAATTTATATGCCATCCTGCACCTGAAGATCACAGGGCAGTTTACTACATGAAAATACAACATGAAAACACAAATTACATAGCATAATAGCAAAACAACAACACCCCTCCCCCACTATCACACTTAAAAGCCGTAGATGGCTTAATCAGCCAAAGCCCTAGTTGAAGAGGAATGTTTTTACCTGGCTCCGTGAAATGGGTGAGGTACTAACTTTGTAAACCACCTTCCACAACCTTCCATTTGCATGTCTGCTGTTTCCCCCTCAGATCTTGAAGAAAGCACAGTCAAAACCTGTCCCACAGCTCATAGCTCAGGTTAATGCATGAGCGAATGCGACAGTGGTGAGTCTAAAGCATTGGCTTCAGCCCTTCAACCCTGAGGGCTTCCACCTGTGGTCCAGCATCACTGTGTTGCTGGCCAGGCCTCATGGGCCCTGGAGCCTTTTCTCAGTGCCCCCAAGTGTTTCCTGGGTGAGTCTGTAGGGAAGTTGATTTCTGGGAGAATTTGGGGTGGTACAGGTTGCAGGGGGTTGGACTTGAAGATCCATGCGGTCCCTTCCAGCTTCACAGTTCTGTAATTTCTGTAAGAAGCTGCCAGACCCCTGAGCCATCTAGCTGAGCAGGATGATTTCTGGCAGGGGCCATTCGTAGCTCTACCTGGAGCTGCCGATGCGGAGTGGGATTGAATCTGGAACCTTCCTCACTCAAAGCCAGTGCTCTTCCACTGAGCCAAAGCTCTGGGGACACGTGACAAGTGTCTAGCCTTGTCTCAGGAGACCCACGGTGGGCAAAGCTTCTTAAAGTCTGGTTGTGGGGCACAGACATCTATTGGCACATCTTCTCTTTTTTTTTTATATAATTGATATTTATTAAGTTTTCAAAGAATAACAACAAAAATTTCCAAAAAAAATTGAGGATACAAAAAACAAAAATAGTACATAAACAAAAAAGAAAAGAAAACCCAGCCGCAAAGAAAAAAAAAAGAGAAACAGAAAAACAAAAATATAAAGTCCTTTACAATCTCTATTGACTTCCTTTCTAGACTTCCTCCTCCTCCCCTCTTTGTTTCTTAATTTTTAATTTTTACAGCAAATCCTTTCTGTTTTTTCATAACAATCTGTCATTACGTTTCCTTATTCTATTTTCCTCTTGTCATATAAAAACTTTAAGACTCATAGCTTATATTCAATATTTACCAAATTCTTGCATCATTACCTTTTACGAATCATTTACCAATCCTTACTTAAGCCATGTAATTTCATTCAACATCCTTCAAACATTTGTAAGCATTCCCAATATTAAAAATAAAAAGAAAAAATAATAAGTCAAATTCAGTCCAGTCAGCTTCCAACCTCCTCCCCTGGACCCGGATTGTCAGTCCTTTTAACCTCGATAATCCGGCTCCTTAACCTGGTTGTCTCGTATCCGAGGCCCTCAAGTCTCTTTCTTGCCCCTTTCGCCACTCTTGTTGATGATTCCTTTCCAGTCGTGGATGCTCCAGCAAGAAAATGCTTTTGACCCTTTGCAGCAAGTCCATCCCAAACCCATTGCCCAAGCCAGACAGCAAATAATACCACTTCAAATTTCCACAAAGCTTGAGACTTCGGCTACTCCAATCCTCTGATAGCCCATCACCAGACTCGAAGGTCCAAATAACCATATGGAGGGGGTCGATCCATCCCCCATTTCCAAATCTGACCACATTTCATCTTTCCGAATCTGGTTTGTCCTAAGTTCATTTATCAAGTTCAAAGGCTGATCTTGCCCGGTCCAAAGGTCCCTCCATCTCTGAAGCCTCCGTCACTACAGCAGGTTCATATGCTTGTATAGCCTTTAACTGAATTTCATTTGTTTGCTGCTGTGCTCTGGTAACTTCCATCATCAAGGTCGTCTCCTGACGCATCTGGTCCAGCTGGGCACTTAGTTTTGAAAACCTTCCAGGAACAATTGTTCAAGCCTTTGTACTAGCATTGTCCTTCAAGGTCAAAGAAAATTCTTTCCCACGACAATAGTCCAATAGTCCTTCTCTTTAATCTCTCTGCGTTGTAATTTCACTAAATTCCACTAGATGGAAATTTTTTTTTTTTAAAAGGAATAAAAGCAACAGCAACAATCTTTCTTTTTCCAGAAACACTTTATCCAAAATCAAATTCAAGAGGCAACAGTAGAATCAAAATGTTACCCTTCTTTTAACTAACTGTCGAGCTGGATAAACTTCAGAACGTCAATTCTGACAGCCCGCTCCTGGTTCAGGGCGGTGGAAAATTGCTTTATTTTAAACTCACTTCCGCAGGATTGAAAAGTCCAAATACAACCCCTTCTTCTCCTGCAGTCAAAGGGGGTTCAGAAATCTTAGATGTTGAATTCTAGTTCTCTTAGAATTTAATTTTCAAGCTTTAGTATATTTTGTCTTTGCTTTCTTCACATAACAAAAGAACGGAAGGCGACTTCCTGTTTAGACCTTCCCATTCCGAGTCCCAATTAAGTTCAATTTCAAGTCCAATATTATTTGTTTATTCACCAGTCTTAAAAGTGGTTCAACTCTTCCAAGATCAGGTACTCACGGATAGATATTTTAGATGCCAAATTGTCCAGGAAAAGGCAGCGCTCTCCGATAACGGCAGTGCGGCTTTGCTGCACGGAGGAAGCAGTCGACTCACAGCACCACGCACCTCCCACTCCGGAGCCCGCTACCGGGCTCCTGTGGCCAAGGGAGAGAGCGCTCTCGGTGCCCGCCGAGTCCCACGTCCACAGGCTTCTTCCGCCTGTGGTTTTTGAGGGTCCCCGCTGCGCCGTAGCGGCAGGACCCAAGCCTCCGTGCAGCGGGTTCCCTTCAGTCCGAAGGGAATTCCGCCATTTTCCGGAGGCGCCACCCCGGAAGTCTCCTATTGGCACATCTTCTCATCTCAGCTCTCCACATTGCTCCTCTGTCCCCGCCCCCCCCACTCCCGGATTTATGGCTTCCCTACACACTTTCCCCTAAAGTGCCTTCAGGTTGTGCACTGCTCCCAACCCAAAGTTCCCATATAACAGATTTTGGAACAACTGCTACTAAAAATACTTCAAAAATGGCTTTGTGCAGATCAGACACATCTGGGTGGATTTTTCCAAAAGGGGAGGCACACACACCCCTTCACCCACCCTGCCCCCATTTAGTCCCCCTTCTCTAACCTGGGGGTCTTGTTTCTGGCTACAGATTCCCGAGAGTGTCTTCCAGGCAGAAGCCCGAGGCGTGGACCTTTCAGTAGCTGCTGGTTACCTAGGGGTGGTGGAGATGGTCCTGACGGACGCTGAGCCGACATCTCTGGATTCAGCTGCTCTTCTGGGCATCTTGCAACTGCTGAAGGAGGTCTCAGACATGGATGCCAACAAGCCGGAGGAACTGGCAACACTGGAGCAGCTGGGGCAGCACTACGTGGCAATTGCCGGGGCAATCCTGGAGGAGCAGAACGCTGAGGAGTGGTCCAAAATAAAGCCGGTAAAATCATGGCTTCCTAGAAGTAAGGGGCAGGCGAGGGGGGGGGGGTCTGGTGAGCCCCAATGTTTGAGGCAGGAAATCCAGAAAGCTAAAGCAGTCCTGATGGTCCACCATCCATTTCCGTCCTTGAGAGTATGTGGCCAGACCAGGACCCATGGGAGACCCTAGGGCCATGAAGCTGACAGAGGTGACCTTGGAAGGCAATGCAGGCCTCTTAGTCCCACTGACCTCACAGGGCGGTTGTTCGGGGGTTAAACACGGAGGGATACCTTGAGCTCCTTGGAGGTTTATTTGGCGGGGCGGGGGGAGGTGAGATAGAAACACAATAAATAAAGAAACACTAGATGGTTGTCCGGCCTCTGCTGGAAGATTTTCAGGAAGGTAGAAATATATAAGGAAATAAATATCCCTGGGTACACACCTTAATTAAATGAGTTGCATCACACCTATGCTCACAGCAGTTAGACTTCTGGCAAAAATCTAAGTTATCAATCCCACTGTCTGCTGTGGCAGAATTTTACGCAACTAAATATGTACTTTATTACATGATTTACTACATTATTCCACAACATCCATTTCAATGCAAAGGAAACACAATTCGGTTTGGAAGGGCAGTTCATAGAATCAAAGGACTGCAGAGTTGGAAGGGATCCTCAGGGTCATCTAGTCCAAACCCCTGCAATGCAGGAATCCCAATTGGTTCCATATCATTGGCAAGCTGAACACAACAAAGGTGAAGACCAATCATATTCATTGATTTCTGTTCCAGACATGGGGCAAATAAGCAAACTCTGCTTCCGTTTCCATCAGGATTATCTGATGTCTCATAACACCTCCCTCTGTGTGACTGGCTCCATTGTCAAACTCTCCCTACTATCAAGAAGCTTCCCTAATCTTTGACCAAAATCTACCCTCCAGTAACTTAAGCAGCAGAGAGGTCATAGAATCATAGAACCATTGAATTGTACAGTTGGAAGGGACCCCAAGGGCCATTTCGTTCCAACCCCCTGCAATGTATTAAGCAGCCTTTGCTCTCTTCAATGGGGCAGCCCCTCAGAGATGCTATTATGTGCTGCCCCCCCAGTCTGCAGGAGGAGGGCCAGGGAAACCCTTGGGCAACGTCGGATGATGATGATGATGATGATAAGGTTTGGGCAGCTGCTCCTGTGCTCCTCAGATCCTTGATGGACCCATGACAGTTGTGGAAAACATGGACAAGATGGTTTCCAGCCTCCATCAGCTCCTGAGTACAGAGAGGCCAAAGTCACCATCTGGTGTAAGAATGTTGGTGAGTAGCAGCAAGGCTCTGGGGTGCGAGGGGAGGAAGAGCCTGGGGAATTGTTAAAGCAAATTTGATGCCAGAAATTCAGTAGGAAAGGAATTGAAAGTAAAACTGCAAATATCCTAATGCTGTTACACAAATTTGTGGTGCATCTCCCACAGTACTGTGTAGAGTACTCACCTCAAAAAGGATACTGCAGGGCTGGAAAAGGTTCAGAAAATGCAGCCAAAATGATCTGGGGGATGGAGGGACTCACCTATGAATGAAGGCTTGCAAAATTTGGGGCTTTTAGCTTTGAGAATGTGGGAATGTTGTGGATAGAAGGAGAGGACAGATTGATTAAATATTGTCCTCCCTCCCTGACACTAATGAGTCAGTAGCACATTCCCAGTATATAGCAGGAAGCTAGTTGGTAGATTCGTTTGAATCTCTTTACTTCAGCAAACCAGGGTTTGATCCTGGTAAATTCCTTTTATCCCTCTTATCATTACTTTTAAAGAAGACACAACAGTCTTCTTTAAAAGTAATGATAAGAAGTTTACTTACATGCTGTTCACAGTAGGTTCCCTGAAGGCAGGCTTTTAGCTTGGAGTTACAGAAAAGAATGTGGGGATTTGAGCCCATGTGCTGCTGGCTGAGAGCCAGCAAACAGCAGAATACATCAAGAGAACAGCATCAAGAGAAAATGGTCAAGGACTTCCGGTCTGCTGCGGAGTGCTAAGTGTCGCCTGCAGCACGGAGCCAGCAGAAAGGCTTGGAGGGCAGTGCTAGAGCTCAGCGCACCCCCAAAAAACCCCCCACAGGAGAGTGGGGACCTGAGAGCTCCAGCGGAGCGGAAAATCTCACACACACACACCCCGATTGTCTCCCGGCCGCTGCTGTGTGCACAGGAGGGAAGGCGAAGAGGCTCTAGTTCGCTCTCGGCACCAACACAGCCTGCTGCAAAAGCTACGATCCGTCACCAGAAGCAGCAGATCTTCCAATTAGAGGTAAAAGTCAAATAAAACATTTTGAACTTTGAATTAGAGCTAAAAAATTTAATTTGGTGAAATGGAAGCAAAAGAGGAAGTCAGCTTCCGATTTCTGTGGACGAGCTCTGCAAAGGGAACTTTTTTGTGAATGGGACTCAGACACAGCCGACAGCAAAGGAGAGTTGTAACATTTAACTCTGACTTGGTGGATGGTTACATTCTAACGGATTTATAGATTAACTGTATTCAGTTACCTATTGGGATACAAAGTTAAAAAGCTACTGACAGCTGGAGGAATCTGAACAGTCTTTTAAAAATTGGTGGCGCTGAAGAGGAAAAGGGGAAAGAAAGAAAGCCTGCAGCGGACTCTCAGCACATCTGGGGGGTAAGCCCAGAAAGTGGAAAGAGCCTGGAACAGCTTCCAAAGCATCTTTGATACTACGAAAGACTGAAAGAGCCCACCAAGAAAGATGTGTTAACTGAAACCCCAGCATGTCTGTGAACTGAATAACAAGACAAATGCCATGGGATTACAAATAAGAAATAAAATGGAAATAAAACTTCTGGAACTATTGCAAGCCACCACTGTTTGAGATACTCATAAGTAGATAAGTACAAATCAAAGAACAACTTCCTCCCCCCTTTTTTTTAAAGACATAAACTTGAAATTGAACTTGCCGAACATTTTTATTTTTTCCTTTCCTCTGCTTCCTGGAATTTTTTTTTATAATATTTTTTATTGGTTTTCATCAAGAAAAATACATATCCCACCACACTGCAACTTTAACAAGTTTTCTCATTTTTGGACTTCCTTCAGCCTCTCTGACAATCATCCAAATTAAACTTTTTAATTACACATTTCCTAAATTTGCTATTGCCTTTTAACATACCCTTCCACATCTGTTTTTCTTTTTTGCAATATTTCTTAGGTTTTTACAGAGCTTCTTTAAATGCCACTAACGTTATTTCATTATCACTTATACATTCCCAATACTCTACTAACTTTCCCCAGTCCTCGATGAACTTTTGATCTCGTAGATATCTGATCTTCCCTGTCAGTTTATCAAGTTCTGCATAGTCCATCAGCTTCATTCTCCACTCCTCCAATGTTGGTACTTGTTCTTGTTTCCATTTCTGGGCCAATAAAATTCTAGCCGCTGTTACTGCATATTGGAAAAGTTTACAATCCTTTCTATTTATTTCATTTCCTGTAATTCCTAAGAGAAAGGCTTCTGGTTTCTTAACAAATGTATATTTCAACATTTTTCAATTCATTATATACCAATTCCCAGAAGCTCTTCACTTTCTTACATTCCCACCACATATGATAGAAAGTACCATCCTTTTCATTGCATTTCCAACATTTCTTGCATGTTTTATACATTTCTGCAAGTTTTACCGGTGTAATATACCATCTGTAAATCATTTTCATAACGTTTTCCTTTAATGCAGTACATGCAGTAAATTTAATATTTTCGTTCCATAGTTTAATCCAATCATTAAATTGTATATTATAACCAAAATCTCTGGCCCATTGTATCATTACAGATTTAACTTCTTCATCCTTTGTATGCCATTCCAGCAATATCTTATACATTTTAGATAGAATTTTATATTCATTATTTATTATTTCTATTTGAAATTTTGAATCTTTCTCTACGAATCCATATTCCTTAAGATATTTTTTTAAATATTTCGTTTATTTGAAAATAATGCAACCAATCATATACAAACTCTTTTACTTCTTCATATGGTTTCATTTTCCATTTCCCCCCTTCCTTAACAATCAAATTCCCATATGTAATCCAATTCCTTCTCATATTGATTTTTTTAACACTCATAACCTCTAATGGAGACAACCAGTGCGGAGTTTTTGGTTCAAGTAGGCTTTTATACCTAATCCCATATTTCTATCAACGATCTTCGGAAAATGTGGTTCTCAAAGCCTTTATGGATTTTCTTCTTTTCAGACCATAAATATGCGTGCCACCCAAATCTATTATCAAATCCTTCTATATCTAACAACTCTGTATTTTCTTATTTTACCCATTCCTTTAACCAACAGAGACATGAAGCTTCATAATATAATTTCAGGTCTGGCAGGGCGAAGCCTCCTCTTTCTTTAGCATCTGTTAGTAACTTAAATTGAATTCTTGGCTTCTTACCCTGCCAGATATACCTTGAAATTACTCTTTGCCATTCTTTAAAGGTCACAGTCCCTTTGATTATTGGAATTGTCTGAAACAAAAATAGCAATTTTGGCAGTACGCTCATCTTTATCGTTGAAATCCTCCCCCACAATGATAACTTCATTCGTCCCCACACCTCCAGATCTTTCTTTATTCCATTCCACACTGGTATATAATTATTCTGATACAAATCAATATTCTTAGGGGTTATCCAAATACCCAAATATTTCACCTTCTTCACCACTTCTATGCCTATTTGTTGTTGCATTATTCCTATCGTATCTTGGTCCATATTCTTAGCAATTATTTTAGTCTTTTTCTTATTCAATATAAATCCTGCCACTTGACCAAATCTTTCCACCTCTGTAAGTATATTTTTGACACTTTCTAAAGGTTCTTCCACCATTAAAACCAGATCATTGGCAAAGGCTTTAACCTTATATTCATTCCGGCCTACTGCAACCCCTTTTATTACCTCATTTTCCCTTATAGATTTTAGAAAGACTTCCAGGACCATGATGGATAACAGTGGTGAAAGTGGACACCCTTGTCGTGTACCCTTGGTTATCCCTATTTCTTCTGTAATCACGT